GAAAGGCCCTAATCAGGTCTGCCCACAGCCTTCTCTTCTCCAGGCTGAACACCCCCAACTCTCCCAGCCTGTCCTCATAGCAGAGGGGCTCCAGCCCTCAGAGCATTTTAGTAGCCCCTCGGATCATTTTAGTAGCCCTCCTCTGGCCCCACTCCAACAGGTCCATGTCCTCCTTGTGCTGAGGGCTCCAGAGCTGGACACAGGGCTCCAGGGGAGGTCTCCCCAGAGCAGAGCAGAGGGGCACAACCCCCTCCCTCGACGCTGGCCACGTTTCTCCTGATGCAGCCCAGAGTACGGTTGGCCTCCTGGGCTTGTTTGGTTTTTTTTTTTCATAAAGCCAGGATCTACTTTAATAAAATGCAAAGAGAAACTTTGCTCAGGCGCAAAAACTTTCAGAACAAAATCAAGTCAGGAATGAAAACTGGCAACACACTGATCACATTGCCAGCTTCAGTCTCAATTGTATCATAAACCCATCTTCTATTGCAGCCACATTCTGGTCCACATTTGTTTGAATTGCATTTGGGGCAAGGACAGAAGCAACCCAGGCAGTTCTTTTCCAGGCAATCACACAAATCAATGTTATTACAAAGCAGGCTTCCATGTTTGTCATACTTCTTTGTAATTTGGGGCTTTTGGAAAACGTCTTGTTTCATTTGTGACATGCGTGCTTTCTTTTTCTGCTCTCTAGTTTCAGGGTTGAAGTCCTGGATTCTGAAAGGCTAAGGATTTTAGTTGCTTTTCAAGTTGTTGCAATTGTTTTTGTTTTATTGGGCGGTCCTCAATAGCATGGAATTGTCAGGAGGGCGCAGCTTCTGCCGCAGCCCCTGCCACGGGATTTTGCCCCCTGTGGGCCACGAGTGCCCGTGGCTCTCGGGGATGCTGGCAGGGGCTTGGGAACCCTGAGGGGCACGCTGGGGCCAGCGTGGGGCTCCAGGTCGGGTGGATGGTGCACCAGCCCCGTGACCTTCCGTCTTTGTTCCAGCGGGTGAAAACTCTGGATGGAGTTCCACAAGTGCACCCCCAGGTTGGTGCAGGGCATCCTCAGCCCCGTGGCAGGGATGCTGTTGCTGGGGCCACTGGTTGCAGCTTGCAGTGGGGATGCCGGTGGTGTGGCTGTCAGCAGCAGGACGGGGCAGCGATGGCGGTACCAGGCCGGGGTGGGGATGCTGGTTGTGGGGCAGTAACTGGGAAGTGGTGCCACGGCTGCAGCCTCTGCCTGCGAGGGTGACGTGGCCTCCTCTCCGGGAGCTGGCAGCGCTCTGTCGCCTGTTCCATTGCACATATCGCAGCCCCTGAGAAGCGAGTTGGGCCACCTGGCACACCTCCATCTTCTTCTTCTTCTTGGGTGGTGTGTTGTCCCATGCGAGGTCTCTTCTGTCTTGAGGGTGCTGGCTGGCGTGGGGCGCTTAGCCTTCTTGATGCCTGCCTCTCTTAATCTTCTGTTTGATGGTGGGGTCCTCTGCCTTCTGAGGACAGGCCTGGGC